CCACAGGTGCGCCACCAGGTCTGGCTAAGTTTTAAAATTTTTTGTAGAGATGAAGTCTCCCTATGTTGCCCAGGCTGACCTCAAATTCCCAGATTCAATCAATCCTCCTTCCTCGGCCTCCAAAAGTGTTGGGATTAGAGGTGTGAGACCCCTAGCCCAGCCTTGTCGTAACTTATATAAAGTACACACCAGGCTCAGAGGCAAGTTGCCATCACAAGTTTTACCAAGGCTATTCATCACAGATTAACCAACATCCAGGGATGTGAAATCCTGTGTACTCTGCAATAGTAGGAGCAGGTGTGACGATCAACATGGTTTTCACAGTGGTTTTCTCACCGCAGCTGAAACCAACTCCAGCCCTACCGCCCGCCCCCTATGTACCCCCCTCAGGGAAGGATCTAAGTGTAGGAGTTACAGTCACATTTTCGGGGCCACTGAGAATCCTGTCTCTGCATTTGGATTCCTGGGATTCTGACATTTATCTCAAGAGCAAACCTCTTCCCTAACCTGGTCCCCAAACTCTTTTTATGAGAGGATGTTAAGCAATTGGCCTCTAACATCAGACTGACCTGACTTTGTCACCTGCTAGCATAGCGGCCTTGGGCAAGTGGTTTAACCTTTATAAGCCACAGCTTCCTCCAATGCAAAAACAAAGCTAACAATAATACCTGCCTAACTGGGTTGAACAAGGAGGAGGAGGAGGGAAGGAGAAGAAAGAAAATAATAGATAAATGGCTGGGCATGGTGGCTCATGCCTGTAATCCCAGCACTTTGGGAGGCTGAGGCAGGTGGATTACTTGAAGTCAGGAGTTTGAGACCAGCCTGGCTAACATGGTGAAACCCTGTCTCTACTAAAAATACAAAAAATTAGCCAGGTATTGTGGCGAGCGCCTGTAATCTCAGCTACTTGGGAGGCTGAGGCAAGAGAATTGCTTGAACCCAGGAGGCGGAGGTTGCCATGAGCCAAGATTCTGCCACTGCACTCCAGCCTGGGTGACAGAGTGAGACTGACTCAAAAAATAAATAATACATAAAAACTGCTGTACCCGTTGCCTGGTACAGAATAAGTGTCCAAAATATGAAAGTATTTCCACTCCTTGTACTAGCCACCTCTAAGATGACCATCAGTGATCCTTCCCTGGCATTCACTCCCTGTTCTGCTAAACAAAAATTATAGGAGGCTATTGCTTTGTACTAAACTCCTGCACTAGGTCCCAACAGACAAGACCAAAAATCAAGATGGAGTCCTCATGCTTACTAAACTGAAACAGTTGTTATCTGACCTGAGAAATCAAGAGATAGCCCAGACAGGCATGGTGGCTCATGCCTATAATCCCAGTGAAAGAAAACAGGCACATTCCTCAAACCCGGACTCAACACAAACAGGCCCAGTACAAACACATCCCACCATATATCTCTCAACTTCCTGAGCCCAGTACAAACACATCCCACCATATATCTCTCAACTTCCTGAGCCCAGTACAAACACATCCCACCATATATCTCTTAACTTCCTGAGCCCAGTACAAACACATTTCTCAACTCAGAGACTACCATATATCTCAACTTTAGAAAAACACCACCTGGAAAGTCTCCGATAAGGACACAGCCGTTCGTGGTTTTACTGAAAGCGCGGGAACCAATAGAAAACTGCTAAATGTATAACTTAAAATGTTAACCAATTGTAGTGCTGTAACCAAAAGAATTCCCTTGTTCCTCTGTAACTTTACGTATCCTATTTACATCGGGCTATAAAAGGCAAGCACTCGCATTGTTCGGGGCCCTCTTGTATGCTGTGGAATGGAGGGACCAAGTTCGAACTTGCAGTAAAAGATCCTTGCCACTTGGCTTTGACTCTGGACTCTGGTGGTCTTCTTTGGGGAACAAACGGTCTGGGCATTACACCAGCACTTTGGGAAGCTGAGGGAGGTGGATTACTGGAACCCAGGAGTTCTAGACCAGCCTGAGCAACATGGCGAAACTCTGTCTCTACAAAAAATACACACAAAAATTAGCCAGGTGTGGTGACGAGCTCCTATAGTCCCAGTTACTAGGGAGGCTGAGGTGGGAGGATCGCTTGAGCCCAGGAGGTCAAGACTACAGTGAGGTCAGCCTGGGCTGCAGAGTGAGACCTTGTTTAAAAGAGGGATAGAGAGAGAGCGCGCACACCTAATTTCCCTAACAGGCCAGTCCAGTTACAATATTCAACTGGTATGTTAATGAAGTTCTGTTTTTAGCCTTACAGCAAAAAGTAACCTGAACTCACCTGATGTAAACCAATCAGTTATCTTTCCATTGTTCTTGCCTTACCAGAAAAGTATTGTAGCTTTGAAATGATAGATTTGCCTTTTGTTCTGTTTCTGCTTTCTTCAGCCCCTTTTCTGTGTATAAAGCCAAACTCCTCCGCTTCACTCATTGAACACTTATTCTATCTCATAAGATGAAATGTTGCCTGATTCTAGAATTGCAGTAGAGATAACTCAGATCTTTAAACCAAATGTGTCGTAATTATGTCTTTGACAGTTCCCTCCCACACTGAGAAAGGCTGAGCTGTGTACCTGATAGATAGCTGTAGAAATGATGGAATTTGGCTCAGTGAGATGGCTCATGCCTGTAATCCCAGCACTTTGGGAAACCAAGACAGACAGGTGGATCATGTGAGGTCAAGAGTTTGAGACCAGCCTGGCTAACATGATGAAACTCTGTCTCTACTAAAAACACAAAAATGGGCTGAGCGTGGTGGCACATGAATCCTAGCTACTTGTGAGGCTGAGGCACAAGAATCACTTGAACCTGGGAGGCGGAGATTGCAGTGAGCCGAGATCACACCACTGCACTCCAGCCTGGGAAACAGAGTGGGACTCCATCTCAAAAAAAAAAAAAAAAAAGGAATGTGACTCAGAAGGCTTCATTGTAAGATATTACCACTTCCTCCCTGCTCACTGGGATCACTCATGGCGGCGTGTCCGGAATTGGTAGGTTCTTGGTCTCACTGACTTCAAGAATGAAGCTGTGGACCCTCACGATGTTACAGTTCTTAGAGATGGTGTGGGCCGGGCGCGGTGGCTCAAGCCTGTAATCCCAGCACTTTGGGAGGCCGAGACGGGCGGATCACGAGGTCAGGAGATTGAGACCATCCTGGCTAACCTGGTGAAACCCCGTCTCTAGTAAAAAAATACAAAAAAATAGCCAGGCGAGGTGGCGAGCGTCTGTAGTCCCAGCTACTCGGGAGGCTGAGGCAAGAGAATGGCATAAACCCGGGAGGCGGAGCTTGCAGTGAGCCGAGATCTGGCCACTGCACTCCAGGCTGGGCGACAGAGCAAGACTCCGTCTCAAAAAAAAAAAAAAAAAAAAAAAAGAGATGGTGTGTCTGGAGCTTCTTCCTTCTGGTGGGTTTGCAGTCTCGCTGTCAGGAGTGAAGCTGCAGACCTTCGTGGTGAGTGGTACAGCTCTTAAAAGCAGCGCATCTGGAGTTGTTCATTGGTCCTGGTGGGTTTGTGGTCTTGTTAGCTTCGGGAGTGAAGCTGCAGACCTTTGAGGTGAGTGTTACAGCTCATAAAGACAGTGTGAACCCAGAGAGTGAGCAGCAACAAGATTTACTGCAAAGAGCCAAAGAACAAAACTTCCACAGTGCAGGAAAAACACCCAAGTAGGTTGCTGTTGTTGGCTGGGTTGGGGGGGAAACAGCCTGCTTTTATTCCCTTATCTGACCCCACCCACATCCTGCTGATTAGTCCATTTTACAGAGAGCTGATAGGTCCGTTTTGACAGAGCGCTGATTGGTGTGTTTACAATCCTTGAGCTAGACACAGTGCTAGACAGAAAGTTCTCCAAGTCTCCACTAGGTTAGCTAGACACAGAGTTAGCTAGACACAGAGTGCTGATTGGTGTGTTTACGATCCTCTAGCTAGATAAAAGTTCTCCAAGTCCCCATCCGGCTCAGGAACCCAGCTGACTTCACCCAGTGGATCCTGCACCGGTGCTGCAGGCGGAGCTACCCGCCAGTCCCGGGCCGCGCCTGCACTTCTCAGCCCTTGGGCGGTCGATGGGACCGGGAGCCACGGAGCAGGGGGCGGCGCCCGTCGGGGAGGCTCAGGCCACGCGGGAGCCCACTGCAGCGGGGGAGCTCAGACATGGCGGGCTGCAGGTCCCGAGCCCTGCCCCGCGGGGAGGCAGCTAAACCTGGCGAGAATTTGAGTGCAGCGCCACTTTGAGTGCAGCGCCGGCTGGCCCGCACTTAAACCGGGCGAGAATTTGAGTGCAGCGTCGGCAGGCCCGCACTGCTGGGGGACCCGGCGCAACCTCCGCAGCTGCTGGCTCACTGCCCTGGGCCGGCGGCGCCGGCCGGCCGCTTCATGTGCTGGGCCTGCCGAGCCGGCGTCCGCGCCTGCCGGAACTCGCACTGGCCCGCGAGCGCCGCGCGCAGCCCCGTTTTCCGCCCGCGCCTCTCCCTCCACACCTCCCCGCAAGCAGAGGGAGGCGGCTGCGGCCTCAGCCAGCCCAGAGAGGGACTCCCACGGTGCCGTGGTGGGCTGAAGGTCTCCTCAAGCACCGCCAGAGTGGATGCCGAAGCCGAGGAGGCGCTGAGAGTGAGGGCTGCTAGCACATTGTCACCTCTCAGCGGGAAGCCAACTGCCTTGTGAGGATCCTCAAGCGGCCCCTGTGAGGAAGAACTGAAGCCTCCTGCAGCCTCCTGCCAACAGCCAGCACAGACTTGTCAGCTACGTTCGACATCTTGGAAGCAGATCCTCCTGCCCCAAACCTTCAGATGACTGCATCCCTGATGGGTATCTTTACTGCATCCTCATGAGAGACCCTGAGTCAGAACCACCCCACTAAGCCTTTCCATAATTCCTGGCCACAGAAATCATGAGAGAATAAATGTTTGCAGTTGTTTTAAATGGCTATATTTTGGAGTAATTTGATACACTCAATAGATACCTAATACACTCCTCTTTCATGCTGTTGACGCTACCCCAGACCCCACGCTCTATCCTTACCTCGGAGCCAGCGCAGGAGGAAGTAGTCATCAGGATTGGGCAAGGCAGATAGCACATCTTGGATGTTCTCCCGAAACTGAGGACAGAGAGGGAGAGACCTGGGTCAGAGGTCAACCACCCTCAGTCCTGCAGGTCTCAACTGTGCTTGAGGAAGGGGATGTCTGAGTGAAGAGGGCCCACTCGGGCTGGGAGGATCAGGGCCTGGGTCAAGCCGTAACAGTTTGTATTCTCCGTCTTGGAAATGGGATGATAGAACCAACTACAGGCCAGGCGCTGTGGCTCGCTTTGGGAGGCACAGGCGGGAGGATCACCTGAGGTCAGAAGTTCGAGACCAGCCTGGCCAACATGGTGAAACACCCCATCTGTACTAAAAATACAAAAATTAGCCGGGCGTGGTGGCGGGCGCCTGTAATCCCAGCTACTTGGGAGGCTGAGGCAGGAGAATCGCTTGAACCCAGGAGGTGGAGGTTGCAGCGCACCACTGCACTCCAGCCTGGGGCACAAGAGCGAGACTTCGTCTCAAAAAAACAAACAAACAAACAAACAAACAAAAACCTACCACACTGAACATCAGAGAGAATTAAACGTGGGTTAAACACAGAGAAGGTTTACAAGCCTGACTCAGGGATGTGGGGGCAGGGAGGGGCCCTCTTTAGGGTGCTAATCTTCATCCTTAGGAAGTCTTCAGGCCAGGTCAGGTGGGAGCATAAACTGCACAGAGTATGAGGCTCAGAGAGGTTGAGCAACTTGCCTAGTGTCACACAGCCAGCGAGTGGCAGAACTGGTTGCCTGATTCTAGAATTGCAATAAAGATAATTGAGATCTTTAAACTGAATTTGTGTCAATTTTGTCTTTGACGGTTCCCTCCCACACTTAAGCAGGGCTGAGCTGTGTACCTGATAGGTTAGGGTTGAAATGATGGACTGTGACTTAGAAGGCTTCACTGTAAAGACACGGTTTGAAACCCGTTAGCCAGGCCCGAGTGAGGGGTGGCTTGACCTGGCCTGGGAGTTGGTTGGGATAGTTCAGCTGACCCTGGGCCCACCCTGCAGGGTCTGAGAGCTGAGGGTCCGTTCCTGGGTGGATGTCATTGACTGTAGGCTAAAGCCAGCCTCCAACACTGATGAATGTGGTAAGGAAAAGAGCACTGGACAAAGAGTCAGCAGGTCCCACTGTGGCCTTGCCTGAGTCATTCCGCCCTCTCTGGGTCTTATTCTCATTGGACCCCAAATGGACCCTCAAAGGACTTTCCCTGACCCCCCACCCAAAATGGACTGATAACCTTTGTCTACAGGAATATGAGTGTTTGGCCCTCGGCTAAGCATTAAATGAATCCTGACATGATGCTGCCATTATACCAATTCCCTAAGTGAGGAAAGTCAGGCTGGAAATGGTGAAGGGACTTCTTAGCCAACATGAGCAATTTTTTCTTTCAATTTCTGACTTCAATTGTCTTTTAAGAGGGTTATCCCAGGTCTAAGCAGAATGTCCTTTTCCTGATGCCGAACACTGCCCCTCGTTTTTGTTCCTTTTTTCCTTTTTTGAGTATTGTATTTTGAACTCATGGGCATTAAGATCAATTACTTGGCCAGGTGAGGTGGCTCATGCCTGTAATCCCAGCACTTTGGCCAACCAAGGCAGGTGGATTGCTTGAGCTCAGGAGTTTGAGACTAAGGGAGGAGACAACTACTATTCCTGCTGCCCTCCTCCCCCCACCTTGCCTAGTTCAAAGACAGGAGAAAAGAGAGAGAGAAACAGAAGTAAGATAAATAGCCAGACAACCTTGTCACCACCACCCAGTCCTAGGAGTTAAACAAAGTAATAATAATAACATCAACCCCTGGCCTAAACTACTTGTGTTATCTGTAAATTCCAGACACTGTATAAAAAAAAGCATTGTAAAACTTTCTGTTCTGTTAGCTGATGCATGTAGCCCCCAGTCACGTTTCCCACACTTGCTCGATTTATCACAACCCTTTGCCGTGGACTCCTTAAAGTTGTAAGCCTTTAAAAAGGCCAAGTATTTCTTTCTCGGGGAGCTCGGCTCTTAAGACGCGAGTCTGCCGACACTCCCGGCCGAATAAAAAACCTCTTCCTTCTTTAATCTGGTGTCTGAGGAGTTTTGTCTGTGGCTAGTCCTGCTACAAGACCACCCTGGGCATCAAGGTGAAATCTCATTACTACAAAAAATACATTAGCCAGGCGTGGTGGTGCACGCCTGTAGTCCCAGCTACTTGAGAGGCTATGGTGGGAGAATTGCTTGAGCCCAGGAGGCAAAGATTGCAGTGAGCTGAGATCATGTCACTGCACTTCAGCCTGGGCAATAAATCAAGACCCTGTCTCAAAAAAAAAAAAAAAAAAAAAAAAATCAATTGGCTGGGTGCGGTGGCTCATACCTGTAATCCCAGAACTTTGGGAGGCCAAGGCAGGCAGATCACTTGAGGTCAGGAGTTCCAGATCAGCCTGGCCAACACGGTGAAACCCCGTATCTACTAAAAATACAAAAATTAGCTGGGTGTGGTGGGCGCCTGTAATCCCAGCTACTCAGGAGGCTGAGGCACAAGAATTGCTTGGACCCAGACAGCAGAGTCTGCAGTGAGCTGAGATCATACCACTGCACTCCAGCCTCGGCAACAGGGCAAGATTACATCTCAAAAAAAAAAAAAGTCGATGACTTGAACTTTTTAAAATTAAAACTAACAGCTTTATGGGGATATAATCACGTATGAATTCATGCTTGAACAAGTTGTAAGATTTTTCCGCTAGCTTTATTTCTTTATACTTTGTTTTCTTTTAAAAAGATTCATACAATTCAAGAAACACAACTTTTAAAAAATTGTTATTTTTTAAATTTTATTTTTTTAATCATCTTGGATACCAAGAAACACAACTTTTAAAGGCCACAATCATCCTTAAGCTAGATTTTAATCATACTCCCTTCCCAGCGTTGTTAAAGTATGAATGGTGTTTAATTGCTTTTCATGAGAGAGAAATAAAAACTTTTCTGACTGAGTGGAGTGGCTCATGCCTGTAATACCAATACTTTGAGAAGCCGAGGCGGGTGGGTCACTTGAGGCCAGGAGTTCCAGACCACTCTGGCCATCATGGCAAAACCCCGTCTCTACAAAACATACAAAAATTAGCTGGGTATGGTAGCACACGCCTGTGATCCCAGCTACTCAGGAGTCTGAGGCAGAGAGTCTCTTGAACCTGGTAGGCAGAGGCTGAAGTGAGCCAAGATCACACCACTGCACTCCAGCCTGGGTGACAGAGCAAGATTCCATTTCAGAAAAGAAAAAAAAAAAATTAAAAATTAACTGGGTGTGGTGTGCCTGGCTGTAGTCCCAGCTATTCAGGAGGCTGAGGTGGGAGGGTTGTTTGAGCCCAGGAGTTTGAGGCTGCAGTGAGCCATGTTCTCACCACTCCAGCCTAGGTGACAGAGTGAGACCCTATCTCTAAATAAATGAATAAATAAATTTCCTGTTCACTCTCATGGACAAAAAACAAATTTTCTGGTATCGTTATACATCAGCAACACATTCAGCCATTTTCTAAGGAAACGGGTGAAGTTACCAACACACAGCTTTACACACACTACCTTGAGGAAGAAAACCAAGAACAGGCACAGGAGAAACTTCGTCTGTTCTTGGCACCTGTGCCTGTTCTTGGCACCGAAAGGCAGGGCGCGGAAGGGCAGGATGTTGGGCGGGGACGCCTGGCTCATATCCCTTCCCCAGCCTGGATCCAGGCCCCGCCCCGCCCCGCCCACACCGCGACCCTCCCCATCGGTCTCGTGACCCTACCAGAAAGCCCACTCCAGAGCGCGGTCGCCGTCCCTCTTTGCCCCACGAACCCCTTCCTGGCACCGTCCACCCCGGGTACACCACCTACCGGATGCAAAGCCCTGTGATGGCAGGAATCGAGACCTCCAAGGCCCCGTCGTTGCGTCCATGCACATGGAACTGTTTGAGTCTTCCTGAAGCCCACGCTTGCCGTCTGCGACCACGAAGGAAAGACCCTAAGGACCTTGGAGGGACTCCTCCCAGGCTAGAGACGAAAATGCACCCTGTTCCTGCCTTCTCCAGTTCCTAGCTGAAGACGGGACCTGCCAATGCAGCCTCCCCAGCAGGCCAGCAGCCTTCACCAGCCCTGTCCAGTATGGTAGACACAAATTCTTCAAACGTGGCTAGTCTGAACTGAGGTCTGCTGTGAGTGTAAAATACACAGGATTTCAAAGACTCAGTATCCCCTCAAAACACTCTTTTTTTTTTTTTTGAAACAGGGTCTAGCTCTGTTGCCCAGGCTGGAGTGCAGTGGCACCATGATGGCTCACTGCAGTCTCAACCTCCTAGGCTCAATCCATCCTCCCACCTCAGCCTCCCAAGTAGCTGGGACTACAGGCATGGGCCACCACACCAGCTATTTGTTGTTGTTGTTGTTGTTGTTAGAGATGGGGTCGCTCTATGTTGCTAATTTTTTTTTTTTTTTTTTTTTTTTGAGACAGAGACTCGCTCTGTCGCCCAGGCTGCAGTGCAGTGGCCGGATCTCAGCTCACTGCAAGCTCCTCCTCCCAGGTTTACGCCATTCTCCTCCCTCAGCCTCCTGAGTAGCTGGGACTACAGGCGCCCGCCACCTGGCCCGACTAGTTTTTTGTATTTTTTAGTAGAGACAGGGTTTCACCGTGTTAGCCAGGATGGTCTCGATCTCCTGACCTCGTGATCCACCTGTCTCGGCCTCCCAAAGTGCTGGGATTACAGGCTTGAGCCACCGCGCCCGGCCTATGTTGCTAATTTTTTAATTTTTTGTAAAGATGTGTTCTCGCTATGTTACCAGAACTCCTGGGCTCCATTGATCCTCGCACCTCAAAGTGCGGGGATTATAGGCCTGACCTACCGCACCAGGCCAATCGTTTTTATATTGATTAGATTATATATTGAAGTTAATAGGTTATTAAAATTTATTTCAATTGTTTCTTTTAGTTTGTTGTTGTTTGTTTTTTTGTTTTGTTTTTGAGACATAGTCTTGCTCTGTCTCCCAGGTTGGAGCACGGTGGCACAATCTTGGCCCACTGCAACCTCCATCTCCTGGGTTCAAGCGATTCTCCTGCCACACGGTGTCACTGTGTTGCCCAGGCTGGTCTCGAACCCCTGACCTCAAATGATCCACCCACCTCAGCCTCCCAAAGTGCTGAGATTACAGGCATGAGCCACGGTGCCCAGCCTCTTTTTAGTTCTTTAATGGAGCTAATAGAAAATTTCAAAAATGCCGGGCACGGTGGCTCATGCCTGTAATCCCAGCACTTTGGGAGGCTGAGGTGGGTGGATTACCTGAGGTCAGGAATTCCAGACCAGCCTGACCAACGTGGTGAAACCCTGTCTCTACTAACATACAAAAATTAGCCAGGCGTGGTAGCAGATGCCTGTAATCCCAGCTACTCGGGAGGCTGAGGCAGGAGAATTGCTTGAACCCAGGAGGCAGAAGTTGCAGTGAGCCAAGATTGTGCCATTGCACTCCAACCTGGGCAACAAGAGCAAAACTCTGTCTCAAAAAAAAAAAAAAAAAAAAAAAAAAGAAGAAAGAAAATTTCAAATGACCTATGTGGCTTGCATTTATGGTGGCGTGGTATTTCTATTGGCTAGTGCTGGTGTAGCCTCCGGCTGCCAAGTCCCTCATGGTTGGGAAGAGACCCAGAGCTGGAGAGTTCAAAAGAACCTCAGGGACCTTGAGTCCTGCCCTTCCCCATGGCAGAAGGAGAAACTGAGGCTGGTGTAGGAGTCTCTCCCTTCACTCACCTGGGCCAGCGACTTCTCCTGCGATGGGCTCAGGTCTGCGATGGGCTGCCCGTGAGTGGGTCCAGGCTCCGCTCTGTGGCTCCCTCCAGGTGGCCTGCCTTTTGCCCAGCTGGCAGCCATGCCCACATTTATCACTGCCCAGAAATCCCACTCCTTCCTGTCAGCCTTAGGGCAACTGGTGGGGCTCGTTTCCTTCCTAGGTGCCTCAGGCACAGGGCCCTGGACTCAGCCTGCCCTGGGTTCACATCCTCACTTGCAAAATCAGGACAGCGATGTTTCCTGGGAGCGTTGATGTGGGCATGTTGAAATTGACACCACCTGATTTCACACACATGGGGGTGGCAGTTCATCCTGCCTCTCAATCCCCTACCCTCTACTCCTGTGGTCCCTTAAGACGCCTCCTTGAGCCAGGACAAGTCATCTTTCACCCCCAACAGAGACCCAGAAGTCACTGTCATCATGCCTTCACTTTCATCCCAGGCTTCGTCTACCACCTGACATGTCCAGAGCAACTGCCCATGATTCATCCCAGCTGTTAGGGCACACGGCTTCAGGGTTGAGGATGAGACTTCCCAGGCCCAGACCCAAACAGGTGGATATGCAATCCTGAGCTGGGCCACACCTGGCCTGGGAGCCAGGATGAGAGGTGAGGAGGGACTCCTCGTTACATCTGCCCCCACCACCCACTGGACAAACAGAAAGCCAGAGCCCAAGATGAGGACACATGAGATCACGTGGTGTGCATGGGACCTGGAACACAGTAGGTATTTGTAGTAGTCTGGGTTGTCCTGAGACAAGAAGATCAGTGCAAGTTTATTAGAGATGTGTCCTGAGAAAGACAAGTAGGGAAGTGTGGAAATGACACAGAGAACGGAAGGCAGCTGTATAGGACTGGTTATCAAGGAAGTACAGAAGAATTCAATCTCAGTGGGGACTTCTGGGAGGCAGCAGGGAACGCCCCCCTTCAGCGTTTCCTTGCCTGAGTGGGGAGGGAACTGGGGTATTTATACAGCAACTCAGGACAGTCTTTGGTTGAGGGCTGCTCCAGGGGCTGTCAATTCTGCTGGCACTTCTGGCCTGCTGTGCACACAATTCAGAAGGCTGGAGAGCATCCTTAGGCAGAGAAACACAGGTTCTGCAGCTAGGGAGTAGTGAGGCTAAGGTGATATAGGCAGGCATCACCAGCTTCACCTCTAATCAGAGACCATTTGCTGGGCTCCATGTCAAGTTCTAGTCCAAAGGCTTCATGTGCTCCTTGAGCCCCAGACTATTCCTCCCTACCTGACAGAGCCTGGAAGAGGGAAGCAGCATGCCTGGGGCCATGCAGCCATGGAGTAAGTGACAATCAGGACTATCTGGACCTGGTGCTTACTCAGGACATTGTATCCCACATGGCTGGCTCCTGGCAGAGGCATGCACATAGGTGGCCTTGCTAAGTCCCAGGAGAGTCCCCCTTAGCCCTGGAAGAGGGTAATGAGCAGATCTGCCTCTTCTGCAGGGTGGGGCCTCCCCAGTACCCAACACACCTCAGGCTGGAGCTTGAGCCATGAGGGGTAAAGTCAGGAACTCTCCCCTACTCTCGTCTCCTCCCCCTGGGTCCCTGCTCCCAGCACCTCTGGCCCATCTTCTTTGTTTTCTTTTCTTTTTTCTTTTTTTTTTTTTTTTTGAGACAGTCTTCTTGCTCTGTCGCCTAAGCTGGAGAGCAGTGGCTCACTGCAACCTCCTCTTCCCAGGTTCAAGCTATTCTCCTGTCTCAGCCTCCCGAGTAACTGGAATCACAGGCGCATGCCACCACACATGGCTAATTTTTGTACTTTTAGTAGAGACAGGGTTTCACCTTGTTGGCCAGGCTGGTCTTGAACTCCTGACCTCAAGAGATCTGCCCACCTCAGCCTCCCAAAGTGCTGGGATTACAGGAGTAAGCCATTGCACCCAGCCTTGGCCCATCTTCTTCAAGCTGGCTTCTGAATATGTCCCTCCTCTGCTCCAAAGCCTCCCTGGGCTCCTTATTACCCTCAGTAAAAACTGTAAATGCCTTCGCCTAGACTCAAGGCCCTTTTGGGTCCCTCCTGAGCTAATTTCCCCTTCCTTTCTCCCTTATCCCAGGTCCCTTGCCTCCCCTCCATTCTCTTTTCAGCTTTTTCTTCTGCTGTTCCCTCTCCCTGGAATGCCTTTCTTGCAACACCCTTGTATTCAGTCCCTGCCTCCCACAAGGCCTACTTCAAATGCCTTCTCTTTGGCGATGTCCTTTCTGATGTGTTTCTTTTTTTTTTTTTTTTTTCTGCTGGGAAGCAAATCCCCAGGCCCCTAAAATCCCACACCCCACCGTCATCTTCCATCCTTCCAGCGATTGTGATCTGTCACAGGTCTCACTCTTGGGCTCCTTGAGGGTCTGGTTCATCATGGTACACTCCCAGTCCAGCACCGACTGTGGTGCATTGTACACAGTAGGTGCTCAATAAAAGCTCACCACACCTGTAATCCCAGCACTTTGGGAGGTCAAGGTGGGTGGATCACCTGAGGTCGGGAGTTCAAGACCAGCCTGGCCAAACGGTGAAACCCCATCTCCACCAAAAATACAAAAATTATCCAGGTGTGGTGGTGCACGCCTGCAATCTAAGCTACTTAGGAGGCTGAAGGAGAAGCACTTTAACTCGAGAGGCGGAGGTTGCAGTGAGCCGAGGTCATACCATTGCACTCCAGCCCGAGCAACAGAGCGAGACTTTGTCTCAAAAAAAAAAAAAAAAATTCACCAAAGATAGGCCAGCAATGGAAGCTGGGATGCCCCAGAGCAAGCATCACCCAGGATCCCTGATTCTACCTGTCACTGTCAAAACGACCTGGTTTGTGCCCCATTCCAGTGTCGCACGGGTTTTCACCCAGTGAACTCATTCCAGCGCATGCCTGCATTGGGTAATGTGCTCCCCTTGCCAGGGAAATGGGGCCCCTGTCAGTCACAAGTAGGCTCTGGAAGGCCCTCTGCCCTCCCTCCTTCTCCCTTCCCTACCTCACTTCCCCCCTGCTTGTCTTCCTTCCCTTCTATTTTTAATCTTGTGTTCCTCTGTCTTTCAACATTTATTAAAAGCCTACTGTGTGCCAGGCACTGGCCTAGCCCTGGAGGCCAATTGTGCCAATGCGTCCTGGTCCCTGTCCTAAAGGAGCCCACTCCAGGGGGCTCACAAGACGAGCAAATCAACAGTTGCATCCTGAGTGGGCAGAGCCCCGATAGGGAATAACAGGAGGCTGTGGGAGCCCCAGGCCCTATGCTAGGCTGGTGGTTGGGTGTCAGGGAAGAATGCCTGGTGGAGAAGGCGGCAGAGCTTGTTTTGAAAACACAGAACAAAGTTAGGCCTCCAAAGGGAAGGGAGCCTTGCGGTAGACGGAAGAGTATGTGCAAGACCACAGAGGCGGACAACAGGAACATGGCTTCTCCCCAAGGTGGCGAGGACCATGGTAGGATTGGAGCACATGTGAGCCTGGGGCTTCAGGTGCAGGGTGGCTGGCTTGAAAGGGTGAGCATGGGCCAGGTGTGATGGCTCACACCTGTAATCCTAACACTTTGGGAGGCCAAGGTGGGGGACTGCCTGAGTTCAGGAGTTCGAGACCTGGGCAACATGGCAAAACCCTGTCTCTACTAAAAATACAAAAAATTATCTGGGCATGGTGGCATGTGCCTATAATCCCAGCTACTCGGGAGGCTGAGGCATGAGAATTGCTTGAACCTGGGAGGTGGAGGTTGCAGTGAGCTAAGGTTGCACCTTTGCACTCCAGCCTGGGCAACAGAGTGAGATTCCGTCTCAAAAAAAAATGAAAGAAAAGAAAAGAGAGAGAGAGAGAGAGAGAGGGAGGAAGGGAGGGAGGGAGGGGGGGAGAGACAGAGAGAAAGAAAGAAAGAAAGAAAGAAAGAAAGAAAGAAAGAAAGAAAGAAAGAAAGAAAGAAGAAAAGAGAGAAAGAAAGAAGAAAAGAGAGAGAAAGAAAAAAGAAAAAGAGAAAGAAAAAAGAAAGGAAGGAAGGAAAAGAAAGAAAAGAAAGAAAAAGAAGGAAAGAGAAAGAAAGAGAAAAAGAAAGAAAGAAAGAGAAAGAAAGAGAAGGAAAGAAAGAAAGAGAAAAAGAAAAGAAAGGGTGAGCTTGCTGGAGAGAAGCTAGGTGGGGATCTAGGCAAGGTGGAGAGGCTGGACCTAGCACAGAGGTGCGGCATAGAGTCTGTTAATTTCCTGGGGCTGCCATAACAAAATGCCACAAACTGCTGGGTGGCTTAAAATAACAGGAAATGATGACTGAAATCAAGGGATTGGCGGAGCTGGGTTTCCTCTGAGACTCTGGGTAGAACTTTCCCTTTCCTATTCCTAACTTCTGGTGGTGGCCTCAATCCTTGACGCTCCTTGGCTTGCAGTTGCTTCACTCCAATCCCTGCCTGTTGTGACATGGCATTTGTCCTGTGCTTCTGTCCTCACATGGCATTTCCACTTCTTGGCGGTTTTTTTTTTTTTTTTTTTGAGACAGGGTCTCACTGTCACCCAGGCTGGAGTTCAATGGCACAGTCTTGGCTCACTGCAACCTCCGCCTCCCAGATTCAAGTGATTCTCGTGCCTCAGTCTCCCAAGAAGCTGGGACTACAGGTGTGCACCACCACACCTAGCTAATTTTTGTATTTTTTAGTAGAGACAGGGTTTTGCCATATTGGTCAACCTGGTCTCAAATTCCTGATCTTAAGTGATCTGCCCGCTTTGGGCTCCCAAAGTGCTGGGAATACAGGTGTGAGTCACCACGCCTGTCCCATTTCTACTTATAAGGCCACCAGCCAGAATTGATTAGGGCCCACTGAATGACATTATTTTAACTTGATTACATCTGCAAATATCCTTTTTTTTTTTTGTTAAGAGACAAAGCCCCACTCTGTTGCCCAGGTTGGAGTGCAGTGGTGTGATCCTGGCTCACTGCAGCCTTAAACTCCTGGGTTCCAGCAACCCTCCCACCTCAGCCTCCAGAGTAGCTGGGACTACAGGTGTGCGCCACCATGCCTGGCTAGTTTTATTTTCTATTTTTTGTAGAGAATTGTGGGGTGGTGGTCTCACTTTATTGCCCAGGCTGGTCTCAAACTCCTGGCCTCAAGTGACGTATTTTCAAATAAAGTCACATTCACAGGAGCAGGGGGTGAGGGCTTCATCATATCTTTTTGAGGGATACAGTTCAATCCACAACAAAAAGGAACAGGTGGTTCCACTGACTTTCTTACAGGGGACAGCCCTGACCCCTGCTCTGGCTTTCACACATCAGGTCAGTGGATACTGGGTAACCGTAGATTCCCCCAGCCAAACCCAGCCAGGAGTCAGGGCTGACAGCAAAGCCCTTTGTAGACCCCATACTTTTTCAGGGTGTACTGTCCATCAGTCCTGAGGCTGAGATGGCCAACTCAGAATGGTGCCGCAGGTCTGGAGCCCTGGAGCCCCGGTCTTGATGTCAGACCTGCCTGGGTTTGCATCCTGCCTCAGTGGCTGCCTTGCTCTGTGACCCTGGCAGAGGCTGGTTGCGCAGCTTCTTTGCATCTCAGTCACTTCCTTGGGGGAGCAAAAGGGATCGCCCATGTTTCCACATTGCACAGGGCTGGACGTAGGGCTCAGTACCCATCATCACTTATTAAAATATAAATTATGTTGGCTGGGTGCAGTGGCTCACACCTGTAATCTCAGCACTTTGGGAGGCTGAGGCGGGTGGATTGCTTGAGGCCAGGAGTTTGAGACCAGCCTGCCCAACATGGCAAAACTCCATCTCTACTAAAAATACAAAAATTAGCCTGGTATGCTGGCTCATGCCTGCAATCCCAGCTACTTAGGAGGCTAAGGCAGGAGAATTGCTTGAACCCGGCAGACTGAGGTTGCAGTGAGCTGAGAATGCACAACTGCACTCCAGCCTGGATGACAGAGCAAGACTCCATGTAAAAAATAAATAAATAAAACAAATAAAAATAAAATATAAATTTTGTTAATAAAAGAGTTAATAACTGTAACAATGCTATTAGAACAAAGCAAGCGGATTGTAAATTCCAATGCAGTAATTTATATTCCTGACACCTGCTGTCTGACAGGTTTGTTCTCCTTGGATTCTTAAGGGCCTCTAAATACTGGTGACAATAATAAAAATAAATCATGCAATAGGCTGGGTGGAGTGGCTCATGCTTATAACCCCAGCATTTTGGGAGGCCAAGGCAGGAGGATAGTGTGAAGCGAGGAGTTTGAGATCGGCCTGGGCAACATAGCAAGACCCCATTTCTACGAAAAGGAAAAAATTAGCCAATTGTGGTGGCGAGTGCCTGTAGTCCTAGCTACTTGGGAGGCTGTGGCAGGAGGATCACTTGAGCCCAGGAGTTTGAGGCTGCAGTGAGCCAAGATCATGCCACTGAACTCCAGCCTGAGCAACAGAGTGAGACTCTATCTCAAAATAAATAAATAAATAAATAAAATTATTCCTGGCATTTCTAGGCCTTTAGGGGCCCGAGGAGATATGATTACTATGGAATTCCTTAAACTCAGAATATTATATTGCACACTAAGTTACATTTATCTTTGATTAATAAAAGTGAGGAAGGCCAGGCATGGTGGCTCATACATGTATTCCCAACACTCTGGGAGGGTAAGAGAGAAGGAATGCTTGAGGCCAGGAGTTGGAGACCACTCATCTCTATAAAAAACCAAAGGTGGGAGCAATTATCTCATGAATTTGGGATCTGTAACATCTTTTCCTGTGAATAGTCTTAGCTACTGTCAGTGGGTTTTTTTCCCTTATTTCTCTCCATACGAATTAACAGTCTCATGGGTGTGCTGCAAACAATATTATTTCTTGCCACAAAGAACATTATGAAGGTGCAGGCAGTGGCTCTAAGGGATTGGTGGGGTCAAACCTCTCTCAGGGTGATGGACTGTCCTGATTGCCTGGGACAGAGGGGTTTCCTGGAAAATAGGAGTTTCAATGCTAAAACCAGGATAGTTCCAGAAAACTGGGACAGTTGGTCACCTTAACTCCTCCCCACTCTACTCAGGCTAGAAGCTCACTCCTATAGGCAATAACCCAAGCCCAGTGAGAGGTTAATAGCTGACTGGTATGGGCTTGAATTCTGACTCTGGCACTAACTTGTTGTGTGACTTTGGGTAGGTCACTTAACTTCTCTGAGTTTTAGTCTAAAAGCTGGGATATTTGGCTAAGGTATGCAAGCATCCGGCTTGGAACCTGACACAAACAGGTCTCCAATAAAGAGTCACTTGAAGCCAGGCATAGTGGTATTCTCCTCCAGCTATTCAGGGGAGGCTGAGGCAGGAGGATCACTTGAGCCCAGGAGTTTGAGACCAGCCTGGACAACACAGTGAGATCCTGTCTCAAAAAAAAAAAATTAAGAAGAGTCACCTGACTGTGGCTTCTGCCATTCAGGCCTGGATGCCAGCTGCTAGCTGGAAGACTGAAGTCCTGTGCCCCAGGACTTTCTCTCCCTCGCCTCACTGAATGAGGCGAGTGGCTAGAGCTGGGTGTGTCCACATCCTAGTCAGTCACACCCAGCCTGCATTGGTTTCTGACGGCCATCTTCCCCTCTGGATATGAGCCCCAGGAGGGATTGACCAACTTGTTTTTTCTTGGTGGTGATTTTTGTTTGTTTTTGTAGAGACAGGATTTTACCATGTAGCTGAGCCTGGTGTAACTCCTGGGCTCACTCGATACACCCACCCCAACCTCCCAAAGTGCTGGGATTACAGGCAGGCACTAATAACAAGTTGGCTAGCTTGCTGACTGCTGTATGCTCAGAGCAGCTCGGGGCTGGGGTACATAACAGGGATTTAGTGGATACCAATTTTTTTTTTGATTAATTGAATGGAATCTCACAGTGGAGCGGGGAAGCCCAGGGCTTTTGTCGGGGCAGAGTACAGGCAGGTGTGGAAGGCGGCCTGGGATGGGAGGGTAGAAGCGGGAGGGGCAGGTAGAGACAGGGTGAGGCAGGCTAGAAGCCAGGGACCAGTAGCAATGGAGGGGGAGGGTGGAGGAGGGGAGAGACAGGCACTGGAGATGTGAAGGGTTTGGGGTCCCTGGGAGATGGTTTGAGTCCCTGGTCTGATATGTCCTGTGACATGACCTCAGGCAAACCCCTTCTCCTGCCCGAATGTCCATTCCCACATCTGTAAAATGGGATGGTAATTTTAACGACTTCAGTTACTGAGGATTAATGAAGTCTGTGCAAGAAGCCCTTAGCCTGGGCCCAGGGCTTGTTGACAATGCCCTACTGAGTGGCCCGACCCCCGCCACCTCCCTGTCTCTTCCTCCCTCTCTCTCTTTCTCTATTCTGATCTGGCCACATCCTCTACCCACCCAGTCCCCTACTCTAATCCTACCACTTGCTGTGTGATCTTGGTGAAGTGATTGTCCCTCTCTGAGCATCCTTCGTTGTCTCTAGCATGAGACAATAACAGTCCCCAGGTTGCTGGGTTTTGGTGAAGATGAGTTGAAATAATGCCCTTACGCGGTGGCTCACGCCTGTAATCCCAGCACTTTGGGAGGCCGAGGCAGGCGGATCACAAGGTCAGGAGATCGAGACCACGGTGAAACCCCGTCTCTACTAAAAATACAAAAAAAAAAATTAGCCGGGCGCGGTTGTGGGGGCCTGTAGTCCCAGCTACTCAGGAGGCTGAGGCAGGAGAATGGCGTGAACCTGGGAGGCGGAGCTTGCAGTGAGCCGAGATCGCGCCACTGCACTCCAGCCTGGGCAACAGAGCCAGACTCCGTCTCAAAAAAAAAAAAAAAAAAAAAAAAAGAAATAATGCCCTTAGCCTAGTGCCGGGCACACAGTCAGAGTGAGTAACTGTTGTACTCCTTAGGATAATCACACACACATGCACACACACACACGTATGCACACACATGCACACACGCACACGTGTGCACACACATGCACACATACACATGCGCTTTTCCAGGTCTTGGTAGCTCGTGGGAGTCCCTGAACCACATAGGACTATAGCACATAGCAAAAACACATCAAATCCCTGCCACCCATTGCTCTCTGCCTACAGACTCACCCAGGCACCACTGTGGCTCCCCCCACGCCAACCCCCACCCCAAGTCACCACCACTGAGGCTGATTAACAAAAACACAACATCAAATTCCTTTACTTCTGAGGTCTCCCCTTTAAGGGGAGGCAGAAATAGAACATTCTTTTTCGGGGAGGGAAAGGGGTTTAATAAAAACCGGTATAATTAGTTAAATACTGATATCGGTTAGGCCCTCTCTGTGTGCGTGGGCCCAGTCTTGGCTGGCTGCGTCCCCCCAGGAAGCACCCCCCTCACCCCGGGGTCCGAGGTGGCACCAGGAGGGGGCTGGGGGCGGCCAGCACCAGCGGCGTCCTGCTCAGCCCCTCCGTAGGGAGCAAGCAGGCAGGCAAGCCGCTGGGCGGTGGGACGTCACCACCGCAGGAAATCGCGAATGAACTTCCAGAGCTTGGTGACCCACAGGTTGGCGCCGAGGTCCATCAGGTACTGGATTTCGGGCGTGAGCATGCGCCGGCAGAGCTGCGCGTGCCGCTGCCCGATGCTCTTCTTGAGGTTGTAGCCCAAGATGGACTTGGTGCCCAGCGGCTGCCAGGGCTGCATGGCCTCGTCCTGGATGGCGGCGGCGTCCACGGCGTGGCCCCCGTCGATGCAGATGGTCCGCATGCGCTCGTTGGCATGGCGCAGGGCTGCCACCTCGCGGGCCATGCGCTCCTGCCCGAAGGCCTCCACCTTGCGCCAGAAGCTGGCGTTGAAGTGGCGGTAGAGGTGGGCGTCCAACATGTTCCAGGCGGTGGCGCGCCCGTACATCTCCCCGGACAGCCGCGGCACCGGCGAGTCGCGGCGGGCGTTGAGCTTGAAGTAGAGCACGTCCTCCAGCTCCCAGCACAGCAGGTCCTTCAGCAGCACCAGCGACTCGTCGAAGTACTCCTGAAGGAGCACCAGGTGGAAGCGGCGCTCCACCTCCAGGATGTGCTCCTGCACCTGCGGGCTGCCAGGGTCCAGGCCGTTGTCATAGCCCAAGTCGAAGAAGAGCAGGTTTCGGAGGTAGTGGGCATTGAAGCCGTTGGGGTCGTAGTAGCGATCCGGGTTTTGCAGGAACTCGGCCAGCTTGTCGCCGCCCGAGAGCTTCCACGTGAGGGGCACCACCGGCCCGAAGTAGTGGAAGGAGGACTCGAACAGGCGGGCGGGGTCGCGGAGCACCGTGATGAAAATGGCGTTGGGCGGCACCAGGCCGCGCACCTCGTCGTAGTGGAAGCGCATGTGGTTGCAAATGATGTTGAAGCAGGCCCCGGGCCGGTAGTCCCGCACTAGGCTGCGGGCGAAGAAGGTCGGGTAGTCGAAGTCGTTGCGGCCGTTGGGAAAGGCGAACTTGAGCCGGTGCTTCTGGCCGAAGCGGAACAGGATGTTGAGCAGGGTGCTGCTGGCCGTCTTGTGCGTCTTCAAAAACACGATATTGCGCCGCGGCTGGCACTCTCCCCGCGAGCCGTTTGCGCGGTTCACTGCCTCTGGCTCAAGCACGGGCGGAGAGCACGATGCTGCGGCCTCTGGGGTCCTGCTGGGGACAGAGAGGTGGGGAGAGCCTCAGGGGGGTGCTGGGACCCTCAGGACTCTGGTAGCTAGAGAGGGAGATTGTTGGGGACAGTGGTGGCAAAGGAGCTGGGATAGCGGGACTTGTGGAGCCTGAGTCCAGGCTGGGTGCCTGCGCGGGTGGTTTGGCCTCTCTGGCCTCAGTTTCCTCTTCTGTGAAATGGGTACAATAACAGGCCCTTATTCACAGTGTTGTGAGATGAGGCACACAGACCTCATTCATGGCCACTGTGTTACATGTACCATGAATCAGTAGCCGCTTGGGCCACATGAAATTGCCATTTTATAGGACAAAAATGGTCAGTTTTGCAGAAATTTGCAGTTTCCTCTGTTTCAACTTAGTATCACCAAGCACTGGTATTGCACCAGCTACAGGCTGTGCAGGGTCTGTGCAGTGCAGCCCATGAGGAAGCGGGAGAGCCTGGTTCTCAGGAGCTGGGCCTGGAGTCAGACGGACACATTTGAATCCATGGACAGGTCACGCCCCCAGGGCTCCATTGGCATCTCAGATGATGCCAATCTAAGCCCTGTACAGACAGTGTTACCTGATTCTCATGTCCTATGAGGAAGGCTCTGTTTTGTTGTTTTTTGTTTGTTTGTTTTTGTTTTTTTTTTGAGACAGTCTACTCTGTTGCCCAGGTTGGAGTGCAGTGGTGCCATCTCGGCTCACTGCAACTTCTGCCTTCTGGGTTCAAGCAATTCTCCTGCCTCAGCCTCCCAAGTAGCTGGGATTACAGACACACACCACCATGCCCAGCGAATGTTTGTATTTTTAGTAGAGATGGGGTTTAACCATGTTGGTCAGGCTGGTCTCGAACTCCTGACCTCAGGTGATCTGCCTGCCTGGGCCTCCCAAAGTGCTGGGATTACAGGCGTGAGTCACCGCGCCCAGCCAAAAGGCTCTGTTTTTATCCCCACTTCACAGATGGGCACACCAAGGCTCAGGGTTACATGGCGAGCTCTGCCGTCAGTGGAATTTCTGTCTGGCACAGCATGGTGCAGGGTGGAGGGTGGCTATCCAAGGTCACTGGGCAGGCCCTGTGGTAATTACAGGGCCCCATGGGTGGGTTGCCATCCCTCCCCCACCTACACCCATCATCTGCCCAGCTGGGCCACTCACGTGGAGGCCAGGCCAACATGCAGCGGGGGCACGGCATAGGAGTACACCAGCAGCAGGAAACTGGTGAAGAGCGCACCCAGCACCAGCCCCTTAGCCATGGACTCCCAGGGCTTCTTCTGCGGTGGCAGCATCTCAGACACCTGCGGGGGCAGCACAGAGTGGGGCAAGTGTCAGGAAACTGGCCCCAGGGAGCCCCCAAGGCTGCCCAGGCCTGGCAGCTGAGACCTGCCTTTGCCTGCTCTGTGGCCCCCAGCAGGGTCCAGACAGGGACAGAGAGACACTGGAGAGATAGAGAGACAACCACCTGGAAAGAGACAGCCCCAGGGTTGCAGACAGAGAGGGTGGGTGAAGCAACTCAAAGAGAGGTTGGGGAATGGGGCAGGGAGAAGGTTAAAATTTAAAAATTAAAATGAACCAGGTAGCAGAACCAGGGCCCCAAACTTTCCACTCCTTTTAATTTTTAAGCTGGTCGATGAGAAATAAAAGAAAAATAAACAGAAGAAAAAATAAGATAACTAACATTCGTTACCTTATTTTTAGTTATTTTTTCTTCTGTTTCTTTTTCTTGTATTTTTAATAAAAATATATATTTAAAAACTTCGGCCGGGCGCGGTGGCTCACGCCTGTAATCCCAGCACTTTGGGAGGCCGAGGCGGGCGGATCACAAGGTCAGGAGATCGAGACCACGGTGAAACCCCGTCTCTACTAAAAATACAAAAAATTAGCCGGGCGCGGTTGTGGGCGCCTGTAGTCCCAGCTACTCGGGAGGCTGAGGCAGGAGAATGGCGTGAACCCGGGAGGCGGAGCTTGCAGTGAGCCGAGATTGCGCCACTGCACTCCAGCCTGGGCGACAGAGCGAGACTCCGTCTCAAAAAAAAAAAAAAAAAAAAAAAAAAACTTCTTCAATTGTACTCCAAATTCTCCCAGATCCTGAAGTTATCTTATTTTTTATACCTTTTAGGGCATGATAATGAAATTATTTCCTTTTTTTATACTTTAATTTTTTAAAAATAGAGAGACACAGTTTCGCCACGTTGCCCAGGCTGGTCTCGAACTCCTGGGCTCAAGTAATCCGCCCGCCTTGGCCTCCCAAATTACTGGGATGACAGATGTGAGCCATCGCGCCCAACTATGAAACACTTTTCTAAGGCAAAAGGAAAAAGGCTGGGCACAGTGGCTCACACCTGTCATCCCAGCACTTTGGGAGGATGAGGCAGGCGGAGTGCTTGAGCCAGGAGTTCAAGACCAGCCTAGGCATATGGTGAGACCCTATCTCTACAAAACAAAATTTAAAAAAATTCACCAGGCGTGGTGGCACATGCCTGTAGTCCTAGTTACTTGGAAGGCTGAGGCGGGAGGATTGCTTGAGCCTGAGTTCCAGTGAGCCATGACTGTGCCGCTGCACTCCAGCTCTGGATGACACAGTGAGACCCTGTCTCAAATAAATAAATCAATAAATAAGAAGGAAAAGAAGACCCTCTCCCCGTGCCCTGTGCCACACTCCCCGCCCCCCAGGCCTGGGCCAGGGCTGTCTACAGGGAAGGCCAAGGGCTCTCTGAGGTCTGAATCCTTCACCTTTCAGAAGGCACAGCCAGCCCTACCTGTCCCCTGTGCCACCCATCCCACAGTGGTACAGGTGAGGCACCCAGTAAGAGCCAGGACTCTTCTCTCCTCACTGGCCCTTGTGCCCCTAGAGTCTATAGGGGTGGCTGATGGAGAAACTGAGGCTCACAGCTGGGAAGAAGGCTCAGGTCACACAGCTGGCCAGGCGTCTGCCCACACACCCACCCCCTTTCCAAAGCCAGCTGGTAGGGTTGCCCAGTTAAATTCAAATTTCAGATAAACAGTGAATACAATTTTTTACGGTGTAAGTATACTCCAAATATTGCATGGGACATAGTTCTACTAAAAATTATTCCAAGGCTGGGTGCGGTGGCTCATGCCTGTAATCCCAGCACTTTGGGAGGCCAAGGAGGGTGGATCACCTGAGGTCAGAAGTTTGAGACAAGCCTGACCAATATGGTGAAATTCTGTCTCTACTAAAAATGCAAAACTTAGCTGGGCATGGTGGCATGCGTCTACAGTCCCAGTTACTCAGGAGGCTGAGACAGAAGAATCGCTTGAACCCAGGAGGTAGAGGTTGCAGTGAGCTGAGATGGTGTCACTGCACTCCAGCCTGGGCAACAGAGTGAGACTCTGTCTCAAAAAAAAAAAAAAAAAAAAAAAAAAAAAAATTCAAACTTCAAGTTTAACTAGATGTCCTGGAGGTTTTGTTATTGTTATTTCCTTATTTTATTTTTCATTTTTATACATTTATTTTATTTTTTTGAGACAGAGTCTCGCTCTGTCACCAGGCTGGAGTGCTGTGGTGTGATCTCGGCTCACTGCAACCTCCCACTCCCTGGTTCAAGTGATTCTCCTGCCTCAGCCTCCCGAGTAGCTGGGATTACAGGCACACGCCACCACACCCAGCTAATTTTTGTATTTTCTGTAGAGATGGAGTTTCACCGTGTTGGCCAGGATCGTCTTGATCTCCTGACCTCGTGGTCTGTTCACCTCGGCCTCCCAAAGTGCTGGAGTTACAGGTGTGAGCCACTGCGCCTGGCCTATTTTTATATTTTTTTAACATTTTTTATATTATTATTTTTGAGATGCCCAGGCTGGTATTGAACTCCTGGACTCAAGCGATCCTCCCACCTCAGCCTCCCAAAGTGCTGGGATTACAGGCAAGAGCCACTGTGCCCAGCCTGTTGTTATTTGTTTGTTTTGGGGGATGATCTAAGCGTGGCAACCCTATCAGCAGGGGGCTGAGATGTGGACTGTGACGGGGGCAGTTCAGGCTGAGGAACTGGAGTCCAGGAGAGAGCTGCGGCTTGGAGGGTCTTCCCACCTTACCTTAGCTGCAAAACCAGGTGCCCAAACTTTCTACTCTTGTCCCAAACTTTCCACTCCTGTCCTGGCTCACGCTGCACTGCGCCCTGGGCTCCCGAGGCCAGGAAAAGTCACATGTGCTAATAACTACATGCATGGCTTTATCACCACTGTCCCTGCAGGCAGAAGCCAGTCAGCCACCCTGGGGGAGGGTCACACACACTATGCCCTGGAAAAGTTATGCTGAGGTGGGAGGATTGCTTGAGCCTGGGGGGCAGAGGTTGGCAGAGGTTACCGCGAGCCAAGGTCACGCCACTTCACTTCAGCCTGGGTGACCAGAGTGAGGCCCCATCTCAAAAAAAGGCAATTAATTGTCAACACCTTAACAAATGTGTTAGTTAATTTGTTACTTAACACATTTAAGTAACAAATCAGAAAGCTTGCAAAGCGGAATAAACCCGCCAGCCATGGAGGGGCCCCAAGCCTGTTTCAATCCAGCCCTGTGATTTCAGACACGCCAAGAGCCCTCATGGAGTCTCAGTTTCTCATCTGTAAAATGGGAAAGCTGGAGGCGCCCCTAGCTGCTCTCTGGAGAAATTTCCTCAGCAAAGCAACCAGCACACAGTCATCACTTAGAGTGTTAGCTGTACCCCTCCTGAGGCCCGGGGGGCCTGCCTTCAACCCCAAAAGGAGTGGGGGCTGGGCCGCCCACAAAGCACAAACCTGCCTCAGCCTCAAGCACCCCTGTCAGCCTCCAACTTCTCAGCGACCCAGCAGAAAACAGGGCCGAGTCGTGGACCAGATCATAGTCCAAAACTCTGGGCCTCAGTTTCTCTGACTTTAAAATGAGGAGGGATTAGGATTACTGTGGCTTGCCCTCTGGAAATCCCAAGGACTCACCCCGGCAGCCCCACTCACCAGGGTACCTTCCGGAATCAGAGAGGCTGCACTACTGGAGGCGCCGAGGTCCAGGCCCAGCAGCAGGGGGCAGACCAGCCTCCCTGCCCCGCCAATCAGGCTCCACCTGGCCCCGCCCAGGACAGTTCCTCCACCCCCCCACACCATTATTGGTTCACTCATTCACTCCCTCATTTCATTCTCCCATTTGCTCTTTTGTTTGTTTGTTTTTGAGACGGAATCTCCCTATGTTGCCCAGGCTGGAGTGCAGTGGTACAATCTCAGCTCATTACAACCTCCGCCTCCTGGGTTCAAGTGATTCTCCTGCCTCAGCCTCTTGAATAGCTGGGATTACAGCTGCACGCCACCACACTCAAGTAATTTTTGCATTTTCGTAGAGACAGGGTTTCACCGTGTTGGCCAGGCTGGTCTCAAACTCCCGACTTCAAGCGATCCACCCACCTCGGCCTTCCAAAGTGTTGGGATTACAGGTGTGAGCCGCTGAGCCCAGCCCCCATTTGCTATTTCTCAAAGCTTGCCAGGTCCCTGCCACACGTGCTGGGTGCTGCCTGCTGCTGAACCTTGGGCCATCCCTCCTAGTTTTACTTTTGAGCCCGTGTTAGGAGCCAGGCCCAGGGCAGGGGCCTGCCTCTTCAGAGCATCTAACTGACCCTACTCAGCAACCACTTAGTGGATGCCACTCCACCCCGCTACACACTGCTGTCACCCCCATTTGGTAGATGGGAAAGGTGAGGTTCCAGGAGGTGACATAACTTGCCCAGGGTCATTCAGCAAAGGCGGGGCAGGGCCAGAATTAGAGCCCAGGTCTATAGACCTCCAATGTTCTACTTCCTGCTTTGTCCATGGCAGTCCCTGCCTGGTGTGTCCTAAGCCCTGTCCCAAGCCCAGGGGAAGGAAGGAGGGAATGTGGGGGTGGACAGGAAGCTCTGTCCAAGGAGCACAGCAGGGTCTGCTCTCTGTGGGCTGAGCCTGCAGCCAGGATAAGGGGAGGGGAAGCAGAGGGGACCCTGGTGTCTGGTCCCTCCTGTGCCAGCCACCTGAGGGGTCCAAGTCTGGTTGTGCCCTTCCTGCCTGGCCACTGTTAACTTAGGTGTGAAACTATGTACCTCATCCTCCCTGAGCCTCAGTCTCCTCACGTGTGCATGGATGCACACCAGCAAGATCAAGGCACACAGAGCCCTCTGTAATCACAGGCAGAGCCCCTGAACAGACTGAGGTCGGGAGAGGAGCTAGCTGACAGCCAGGAGCCTGGCTTGAGGGAGAACAGTCACCAGGCTATGAGATTAATTTTTTAAAAAGACAGGATCTTGCTCTATCACCCAGGCTGAAGTGAAGTGGCGTGATCATAGCTCACTGTAGCCTTGAACTCCTGGGCTCAGTGGATCCTCTTGCCTCGGCCTCCTGAGTAGCTAAGACTACAGGCATGCACCACCACGCCTGGCTACTTTAAAAACATTTTTTTTTTTTTAGAGATGGGGGTCTCACTGTACTGCCCAGGCTGGTCTCGAACACCTGGCCTCAAGTGAATTTCCCGCCTCGGCCTCTCAAGTGCATACCACCCACGCCCAGGTCACCACCATGCCTAGCTAAGTTTTTAATTTTTTGTAGAGATGGGGGCTCTCCCTATGTTGCAGGCTGATCTTGAGTTCCTGGCCTCAAGTGATTCCCCCACCTCCACCTCCCAAAGTGCTGGGCATAAGCCACCATGCCTTGCTCTCAGGCTATGAGACTGAGACAATGCACGTACCCAGGAGGTGATCAACACATATTCATTATTATCATCATCACCATTGACCCTGACCCAGCCTTGGTTCATTGGCGTGCCAGAGGAGAGGTCCCTTCCGTGCCCCGCTACAGGCAAGCCTACTGGTGACTCATCCCTGAGCTCCCCGAGCCTGGCACCTGGTGAATGTGTGATGAATGACTTCCCATGGCTCTCAGGGCAGAATGTGGGCAGGGCTATAGAGCCTGTGCAGAGAATGTGGATGAGGACATGGTCCAGGCAGACAACACCTCACTGAGACACAGGAGAGATCCTGTGTAGGAGACCTACAGACGAGAGTAATACATGTGAGGCACATGCATGTAAAAGCCCCCATGGGCTGGGCGCAGTGGTTCATGTCTGTAATCCCAGCACTTTGGGAGGCCGAGACAGGCAGATCATGAGGTAAGGAGTTCAAGACCAGCCTGGCCAACATGCTGAAACGCCGTCTCTACTAAAGATACAAAAAATTAGCCAGACGTGGTGGTGTGCACCTGTAAGCCCAGCTACTTGGGAGGCTGAGGCAGGAGAATTGCTTGAACCCGGGAGGCAGAGGTTGCAATGAGCTGAGATTGCGCCATTGCACTCCAGCCTGGGCGACAGAGCAAGACTCTGTCTCAAAAATAAATAAATAAATAATAAAAATAAAAATCAAAAATCTGAAATCTGAAATGTCCCTAAATACAAAACTTTGTGAATGCCTACATGACACCACAAGTGGAAAATTCCATACTTGACCTCACATGACAGGTCTCAGTCAAAACCCAGGTGCACAACACACAGTTTATTTAGTGTCCTCAAGGGAAAAATAAAACTACCTTGAGGCTACGTGTATAAGAAACATACATGAAGGTGGGGCGTGGTGGCTCATGCCTGTAATTCCAACACTTTGAAAGGCAGAGGCAGGAGGATCGCTTGAGCTCAGGAGTTTGAGGCCAGCCTGACCAACATGGCAAGACCCCATCTCTACAAAAAATACAAAAATTAGCCAGGCATGGTGGTGCATGCCTGTAGTCCCAGTTACTGGGGAGGCTGAGGCAGAAAGATCACCTGAACTTGGGAGGTTGAGGCTGCAGTGAGTCATGATCGTGCCACTGAACTCCAGCCTGGGCCACAGAGCAAGACCCTGTCTCAAAAACATTAAAATTAGGCTGGGCACGGTGGCTCACGCCTGTAATCCCAGCACTTTGGGAGGCTGAGGTGAGTGGATCATGAGGTCAGGAGATCGAGGCCATCCTGGCTAAGACAGTGAAATCCCATCTCTACTAAAAATACACAAAAAAATTTAGCCGGGCATGGTGGCGGGAGCCTGTAGTCCCAGCTACTAGGGAGGCTGAGGCAGGAGCATTAACCCGGGAGGCAGAACTTGCAGTGAGCCGAAATCACACCACTGCACTCCAGCCTGGGCAACAGAGTGAGACTCCATCTCAAAAAAAAAAAAAAAAAAAAAAAAAAAAAAAAGTTTAAACAATAAAATCAACCAGAAAGAAAGAAACATCAATTCTTTCTAAACAAAAATGTTTAGACTTGGGTTCCATCTCCAGGATATCTCATTATATATACGCATATCTTCCAAAATCTGAAAAATCTGAAATCCGAAACACTTCTGGTCCCAAGCATTTCAGATAAGGGATACTCAACCTGTACCAGTTGAGCCTCCATCACAGGGTGCTGTGCAGATCCTCTGCATTCCACAAGAAGAGAACCCAGCCCGGGGCTGGTGCAGAGCAGAGAGTCACTGAGCGGGGCCTGCCATCATTGTCATCATCATCATCATTGATATGTTCCCAGGGTCCCAGCCACAGCCCCACCAAAGTGTGTGCCCACTGACCCACAATGGAGGCTTGCAGGAAGCTGAGGGTCCCAAGTCCAGGGATGATCTCAATGCAGCCAGAGCCTCCTAGCCTCAAGGCCAGAAGACAAAGAGGCAGGGAGGCTGAACCTCAGAGAGGGCAAGGACACCTTCAGGTTTACACAGCACAGCAGCAGCAGAGACGGGACTAGAACCTGGGTCTCCCACCTCCTCCACCCATAGTAGTGACAAGCGCAGGCACTCAGGATGGACAGTCCCCCTATCACCAGCCCACCCCATCTACTCCTGCCCTTCTAGATTATGCCTGTCACATTGGCCTGCATCAGTGCAGAGAGCTGGCAGCAGGCCAGGCCCGGCCATCCTCCTGTTTAGCTGAACTGACACCCTCCAGGGAAAGAAGGAGAAACAGGACTTCTTCCCCCACATCATGCACACAGGGAAACCCAGCCTGGGATGGTAAACCTTCTGGCTTAGAGCGTCACCACCAGGCAGGTATCCGGGTATCCTACTTTCCCTGTGACCCCTGTGGCGGAGAATAAGAGACACACTCACCTCGGGCTGTGGCTGGCTGCCCCTTTCCACTCACTGCCTGAGCCACGTCCAACTCCCAGGCTGTCTCTGCGGTCACTGGGAGACAGGAATGCTCCAATGACACCCAGCAGCAAGCTGGCTGGCTCCCTCCCATCCAGTGGTATGAATATTCATGAGTTTGCTTCCTGGGGATAGCAGGTGGCACACCCTGGTACCCTGCAGGTGTTGCCCTGGCCCTCTGCCCCCACTGGACAGCCCTGGCCGGTCCTCACCTCTTTCTGGACCCCAACAAGCAAGCAGCTCTTTCATCCAAGGGCACAGAAAGATTCTAGGTATCCTTGGGCCAAGGACACAGCAACCGCAGAAGCCTGCACAGAGCCCAGAACAGGCTCTAAGGCTGACTGAGGGACAGGGAGATGCAGGTGGGCTGGGGTGCAAGAGGGCTAATTGCTCCACCTGCTGCATTTCATTTAAGTCTCACAGCTGATGCATCAAGCACCTCTATTATTCTACCCTCCTGGTAAAGAAACCAAAGCTCAGAGAGGTAACGTCACCTGCCCAAGGTCACCCAGCTATCAGAGAGCAGACAAAGCCAGAGTACATATGCAGACTTGCCACACTCCAGGGCGTAAAGATGCTGAGACACAACCAGAGACCAAGCTTTATCCAAAATCTGTGGGAACCCAGAATGAACAACTAACTCAGCCTGGAAGGCTTCCAGGAGGCAGAGCATCTGACTGGGGCTCAGATGAGTCTGGCAAGATTTCACTTCCTGAGCTCTAAATCTTACATCAAAGAGCGTGTCCTGCCTCTATACCTGGGTGAGGAATGGTGATACACAGACACTCGACCAGCTCTGCAGGACTTGAGCTGACTGGAGATGCAGATCCTCCCCAAGGCCTTGGCGGGAAGAGGCAGTTCTAGGTGCCCTGGCCCTAAGCCCCAGGAATCCTAGGACTCAGTTCAGGCACTTGAATCTTAGGTTCAGGTCAGTTGTCTCAGCTTTGTCCATGGACAGAGGTCTCCTTGTGCCCAGAAATGCCTCCACCATCCTCCCTTCAGCACTGCTGCCTAGAACCTCATCACAGACCAGGCAGGTGGCACCATTTAGGGACCCAGGTGCCACCATCAATTAATAATGATCATTATTGTGACAGTCATTCATCCCACACTAAGCACTTCCATAGGTTAAGCAGCTGCCAGCCTCTCCCAGGGAACAGCAGGCATCCTCACTTGCTCTGAGTCCCCCTTTCCCTCAAAGCCTCACCAGTCTGGGAGCAGCCCCCAGGCACCCACGAAATACCAGAGCTTAAAGTGCCACAAGGCAGGTCCAGAGTCGCCTTCTCTCTAGGTGCTGGAATCAGGTTTGGGACATGGTATGGCGTTGTTTTATCCAGGCTAACATTCCGTTGACTTTCTGCCCTTTGAGCTGAGCTAGCTTGAAGACAGCTTTCCAAGAGAGAGTCAGGGTGGAGCTGGCATCAAACTGCAGAGGCTGTAGTTTATTAGAGTGGACTCTGAACCCAACAGGGTCCACTTCTGGGCTTGGGACCTGTCATGCATCTGCAGCCTCATAATCCTCTCTGGGGAGCTCCTGTTATCATCTCCATTTTATAGAGGGGTGAGAACCTCATCTAGGTGAGAGTGAAGTGCAGGCTCTTGAACAAGAGGTGAGATTGTCGGTGAGGAGGAGAGCAACTAGCCAAGGGAAGCAAAGATTTCCAGAGTAGGGAGACCTGTGCTTCCAGCCCTGCCAGAGAAGTCTCTTCCCAGAGTATTGATGACAACATCTTTCTTTTTTTTTTTTTATTGAGACAGAGTCTTGCTCTGTCACGAAGGCTGGAGTGCAGTGGCGCGATCTCAGCTCACTGCAAGCTCCGCCTCCCAGGTTCACGCCATTCTCCTGCCTCAGCCTCCCGAGTAGCTGGTACTATAGGCACCTGCCACCTCGCCTGGCTAATTTTTTGTATTTTTAGTAGACACAGGGTTTCACTGTGTTAGTCGGGATGGTCTTGATCTCCTGACCTCGTGATCCACCCACCTCAGCCTCCCAAAGTGCTGGGATTACAGGCGTGAGCCACCGCGCCCAGCCAATGACAACATCTTTGGCTGGTTCTCCACCCCCACCCCCAGGAAAATTTTTTTTTTTTTTTTTGGAGATAGAGTCTCACTTTTTTGCCCAGGCTGGAGTGCAGTGTCAAGATCTTGGCTCACTGCAACCTCTGCTCCCTGGGTTCAAGCAATTCTCCTGCCTCAGCCACCCAAGTAGCTGGGATTACAGGTGGGCACCACGGTGCCCAGCAAAAACTTTTTCAATGATGAAAGCAGCATACTGAAAAAAAATTCAAACAATACAGAAGAGTATAAAGAAGATGATTAAAAGAAGCCCAACCCCAGAGGTCATCACCATCACAGGATTTCTGGTCATATATATATATAGACGATGGAATGGAAACTGTTTTTGTTTTTTTGACACAAGGTCTTGTTCTGTCACCCAGGCTGGAGTGCAGTGGCATGATCATGACTCACTGCAGCCTCAAACTCCTGGGCTCAAGAGACCCTTCCACCTCAGCCTCCCAGGCAGCTGGGACTACAGGTATGCACCACCACACCTGGCTAATTTTTGTATTTTGATTTTTTGTAAAGATGAGGTCTTGCTATGTTGTCCAGGCTGGTCTTGAACTCCTGGGCTCAAGTGAGCCTCCCACCTCAGCCTCCCCAGGTGCTGGGATTACAGGTGTAAGCCATGGAGCCCAGATGCACCTGCTTCTTTGGGGGACATATTTTGTTAACTGCTTTTTTCCCCACCTATCAATAAATTGTGGACACCTTGCGGCCATGATAGTTTTTTCTTTCTTTCTTTCTTTCTTTTTTTGAGACAGAGTTTCACTTTTGTCACCCATGCTGAAGTGCAATGGGGCAATCTTGGCCCACTGCAACCTCTGCCCCCTGGGTTCAAGCAATTCTCCTGCCTCAGCCTTCCAAGTAGCTGGGATTATAGGCACCTGCCACCACACTTGGCTAATTTTGTATTTTTAGTAGAGACAGGGTTTCACCACCTTGGGCAGGCTGGTCTCAAACTCCTGACCTCAAGTGATCCACCTGCCTTGGCCTCCCAAAGTGCTGGGATTACAGGCGTGAGCCAGCGCTCCCGGCCCATGATAGTTTTAAATTGATCCATCCCACAGGTGTTTACTGGGCACCTGCATTCCAGCACTAGAGTTCAGGATAACCCCGTGCAGAGAGCTCGGGGCTCACAGTCCTAACTGGGGAGACAGAGGAACACACAGCTGCGAGGCGAGGGCAGTGATGGACAACGGATTGTTTGGGGCTTGCAGAAACACAGAGAAAACACCTGATCCAGCCTTGGGGAGGGGACAGCGGCATTGGGAAGGCCTATTGGGGTAGGGGCCTCTGGTGGCAGAAGCTGTTGTGTGGTCTCCAATTTCCAAAGACAGTTCCCTTTTCTCCACGGCCACATGGCTAGACTACATTTCCCATGCGCCCTTGCAGTTCAGTGTCATCACGTAACTGGGTCCTGGCCAGTGAGATGTGAACAGAATGCCAGCTGATGAGGTTAAGTGGGTGGACCTTTTCTGTGGTCTCCTTTCCCATTTACTGGATGAATGGGGCGGTATCCAAGGATCTGCGCGTGGGTGGAGTTGGGAGGAGCCTAGGCCTTTGCATCTCTACCCACCAGACACTGACTGGATTTCAAGAAAACAAGAACTGCATTAAGCCTTCTAGGACTTCAGGTTTGTCTGTTACAGCAGCTAGCATTAACTAACATGCTTGTTACCCTAGAATGAGCCACACAGAGAGAAAAGCACATGCAAAGGCCCAGGGCAATTGAGAAACGAACATTCCACCGGCTGGAGTGTCTGGTGTGTGTACGTGTAAGAGGCTGGCTGGGCAGGGGAGAGACTACAGAGACAGCCAGAAAATAGGGCAGGGTCAAGAGGGACATGCAGGGGCCAGGTGCGGTGGCTCACGCCTGTAATCCCAACACTTTGGGAGGCCGAGGTGGGCAGATCACCTGAGGTAAGGAGTCCGAGACCAGCCTGGCCAACGTAGTGAAACCCTGTCTGTACCAAAAATTAGCCGGGTGTGATGGCGGGCACCTAATCCCAGTTACTCAGGAGGCTGTAATCCCAGTTACTCGGGAGGCTGAGGCAGGAGAATCACTTGAACCTGGGAGGCGGAGGTTGCAGTGAGCAGAGATCATGCCACTGCACTCCAGCCTGGGCGACAGAGTGAGACTCCATCTCAAAAAAAAAAAAAAAAAAAAAAAAAAGAAGGACATGCAGGGCTGCAGGGCTTTCAGGAAGCATGCTACTGAGTCTTGCCTGGATCCTGTGGGCTGTAGGGAGAGACCCATGGGAGGGTCTTCAGCAGAGGAGTGAGCAGATGGGATTCCTATGGGCTACTGGGTAAGAAATGAACTGTAGGGATGAGGAAGGAGAGGGAGGAGCAGGCTGACCTCCACAGTAGTTGTTACAGCTGTGCAGGTGTGACGTGGAACAAGGAGAAGGCTGGGGAAGTACCGGAGCTGTCTGGAGACCATGCAAAGGCAGCATTCTGTTGGCGGCAGGGTGTGGAGGAGGGGAGGGAAGAGTTGCTGTTGGGTGACTGCTGGCTGGAGGTGGAACTAGTCCCCGAGTCGGGGAGGCTGAGAGGGCCAGGTTGAATGCTGGGGTGAAGCACGTGGTGTCAGGTTCTGTTTAGAACACACTGAGACTGAGGGATGCTTGGCATGATCATAGAATGTCTAAAGATCTGTAGGAGCAAAGAGTGGGGTCTTGGGGGAGGGGAAGAGGTAGGTGGGGAGCTGGGCACAGAAGTGGAAATTGAGGCCATAGGAGTAACTAGAGTCAACAAAGGAAGGGTGAGGAAGGACAGGGAGCCTGTACTTATGGAGCAGGGTGAAGAAGAGCTCCCTAACGAGATAAAAGAGGGCAGCTAGGGCTGTATCAGAGTCTGCAGCACTGCTATTCCCCCATAAACCATTCCCCAGCTGGGCATGGTGGCATGCGCCATCCAGCATTTTGGGGAGGCCAAGACAGGCAGATTGCTTGAGCCCAGGAGCTTGAGACCAGCCTGGGCAACATAGTGAGACCCTGTCTGTGTAAAAAATTTAAAAATTAGCCCAGTGTGGTGGTGCACACCTGTAGCCCCAGCTACTCAGGAGGCTGAGGCAAGAGGACCCTGCGAACCCAGGAGTTTGAGGTTACAGTGAGGTATGAACGTACCACTGCACTCCAAGCCTGGGCAACAGAGCGAGACCCCATCTTAAAAAAACAAACCCCAAGAAACAAAAGCCATTCACCAACTGAGGCACATCCGTGCTGTTTGCTCATATGCACATACAGGAACAGGGCTCTGGCCGAGAAGGTGGTGGGGTGAGGGTATCCCAGGGCTGCTTTCTGTAGCTGGAGGGGAATCCCATGGGGATATGGAAGGAGCTTTTAAGAGTGGAGCAATACAACTCTCCTTATGGTGTCCGTAGTGCAGATTTGACAGCAGCTATTACAGTTCTGAGTGTGCCTGTTCTCAGACCCAGCAATCCACCTGCAGGAATATGGTTCAAAGATAATCTAACAATCAATCTGAGATGGGCATATAAAAGTGGCCACTGCAGTATAATTTCCTCCAGTGCTCACAGAGCCTTTACCCCCATTTAGAGATGAGGAAACTGAGGCTCAGGGAGGTTAAAAAAGAGTTGCCTGGCTGGGTGCGGTGGCTAACACCTGTAATCCCAGCACTTTGGGAGGCCAAGGCGGGTGGATCACCTGAGGTCGGGAGTTTGAGACCAGCTTGACAAACATGGAGAAACCCCATCTCTACTAAAAATACAAAAATTAGCTCAGCGTGGTGGCGCATGCCTTTAATCCCAGGCTGAGGCAGGAGAATCGTTTGAACCCAGGAGGCGGAGGTTGCAGTGAGCCAGTATCACGCCATTGCACTCCAGCCTGGGCAACAAGAGCGAAACCCCGCCTCAAAAAAAAAAAAAAAAAAAAGAAAAAAAAAGAGTTGCCTAATATTAAGCCCGGAAAGCAGTGTATATGGAATAAACTTATTCATGTAGAGAAAAGCTGTACATTCGTACATGTGTATAAGGGTCTGAAAAGATACCCAGTTATAAATTGTAGTTCCCTGGGGAGTAAGCCCATATACTTTCTGGAACATATTTTGATTCTGTGATCACACACACACACACACACACACACACACGTGCACACTCTTTACAAAAGAGCTTATATTACTTTGGAAAGATAAAGAAAGATATTTCCACTTTGAAAATCTGCAGCCCGCCTGGAGGAACATGAGCCCCACTTCTCCTCACTGTGTGGCCGAGGCAGACACTCTGCCCTCTCTGAACCTCAGTGCACCAAGTGCGGAAGGGGCAATAGGGGCCTGGGACCGAGAAGGAGCTGGGAAGTGTGGGTGGCACAGCAGAAGGGGCAGATGGGATAGGTTAACGCTCCATCCAGGGGTACTGGGGAAGTGACTTGCAAGCATCCAGAAGCTTCCTCAATCTGAGCCCCTCTAGAATGGGGTGCTGGAGCAGAGAGGCGGAAGACCACCCATTGGAGCATTTCAGCTGGATCCCAACTCGCTGGCTCGGAGGACCACTTCCAAAATGTCAGCCCTGACATCTGACCCCTGCTGCTCCCTAGGCTGCAGGGGTGGATGCAGGTGGTAGCCGGCCCGGCAGTTGAGAGAGGCTAATGTTCTTTGATGATTCAGAAAGCACTTATTGATCTTGCAAGG